TGTGTGGTGTGTGTTGTGTGTTGTGTGTTGTGGTGTGTGTGTGTGGTGTGTGTGGTGTGTGTGTGTGCTGTGTGTGTTGTGTGTGTGTGGTGTGTGTGTGTGTGTGTTGTGTGTGTGTGTGTGTGTGTGTGTGTGTGTGTGTGGTGTGTGTGTATGTGTGTGTGTCGTGTGTGTGTGTGTGTGTGTGTGTTAGAGCTGATGAGCCACGCCGGTCTGGTGTAAAGTGGGGCTCTCGCTGTGAGGACGGATCTCGTCTCGGTGGTCAAAGACCTGTCGCGCGCCCCCGTCACCGTCATGTCCATCAGCCTGAAGACCATCCAGAACCCAAAGACTCACCACAACGAGGTCAGAGGTTCCTGTTGTTTATTCATGTTGTAATGCTCAGATTCCTGATGGTGATTTCTCTCTGCAGATCGTGTCTCTGGCGGCTCTCGTCCACTATGAGTTCCAGATGGATAAAGCTCCTCCTCAACCTCCGTACCAGACACACTTCTGTGGTGAGTCTGTCTCTCTGTCTGCCTGTCTGTCTGTCTGTCTGTCTGTCTGTCTGTCTGTCTGTCTGTCTGTCTGTCTGTCTGTCTGTCTGAGCTGCAAAACAAATCAAATATCTGAGACCAATCGTCTATTTCCCATGCATACTATACACATGTTTCAGTGTAACACATGGATGCAATATCATTTTAAAAGCTTATTTGACCACAGAATGTCTGAAGATGGTAAAATTCACACAATTTTCCTGGATCTGTTTGATTCCTTTCTTCTTTGTTTCTGCAGTGGTACAGTAAAACCGGTTGACTGTATCTTCCCCTACGACTTCAAAAGATGCCGTGACGAAAAAGGTGAGAAAAATCATTTATTGATAAATTGACAAGTTGTTAAAGGGTCAGGAACAACCAGCAGGACTGAACAATACAATCAAACTCTTTTACAATCAGCAATTCAATTAAAAGGATGTTCTCTACAGTCCAAAAGGTTTTTATTTTAGACTTGATGGAGAATATATTTGCCTTGAAACTTTCTTCAATATATGTGAAACGACTTTCAAAGATGCCGTGAGCAATAAGGTGAGAAAACATGAGTGTAAAATGTCGGAAAAACTACTATTAACCACGATTAGTAGAACTTTTTTCATGTGGGAGTTTAATCCCAAGACGTTACTACAGAAAGGCAGTGAGTTAAGTTTTCACAAAAAGTAGATTCTATTAGACTTAAAGGGGACCTATCATGCAAAAGTGCATTTTGCATGATAGGTCCCCTTTAATGGAAGATAGGTTTTTTCATTGTATGTGACACACACATCTTGAAGTGAACGGTTATTTTTTGTAATTGTTGAGTGTTCTTGTATTTTAATGTGTTATTTTATACCTCGGGACTGTGAGAAACAGTATTTCGATCTTTCTGTGTGTACAAACATATTTTGAGATTGACAATAAAGTTGGCTTTGACTCCTCTCCTTCGTCAGAACGGTAGAGTGGAGATCGCTGCTACAGAGCGGACTCTGCTCGGCTTCTTCCTGGCCAAGATGCACAAAATCGACCCCGATGTTCTGGTGGTGAGTACACGATGCTGGGCTGATTCTACGCACTTGTATCCTGAATCATGGTACATTACAGTATGCTTTATCGATATTCTCTTCCTGCAGGGTCACGACATCTTTGGCTTCGACCTGGAAGTGATTCTGCAGAGGATCAACGTCTGCAAGGTGCCCCACTGGTCTAAGATCGGACGCCTCAGGAGATCAAATATGCCCAAACTAGGGGTGAGAAGAATAACACCTCCTTAGGAAAGTCAGAATTCTTTGATTTTGAGAAAAAGTCAGAATTTTGATATTTTAGGAAAAAAGTCAACATTTTGAGAAAAAGTATTTTGTACATGACAGGATGTATGATTACCTACAAGAACCGGTATTCCTCCATCTTGTGACTGTGTAACTCCCTCTCTTGTATATCAGCATGTGAAGGACACTGTTCAGGAACTAGCTCTGTATGTGATGACTACTTCATATATCACATCGTTCATCATTTAACTTTGCTGCATTGTCAGGGTCGCGGTTCCTTTGCAGAGAAGAGCGCCACCTGTGGGCGTCTGGTGTGTGACGTGGAGATCTCAGCGAAGGAGCTGATTCGCTGTAAGAGTTACCACCTGACTGAACTGGCTGCTCAGGTGCTGAAGACGGAGAGAGCCACCATCCCTCAGGAAGACATCAAGAACCTCTACAGGTGTGTATGTCCTTAAAGGGTCCTTTCAACCTTAGCTTCCCCTAATTTCATTCAGAATTAACCACTGCTTACATTTTACACCATCTCCTCTCATGTTTCACCAGCTTAGCCTCTCCACTAGGGCTGGACTACATCCTGTTTACTTATCATCTTTCTTTGTCAACTTCCCCGATAGATACATTGCAAAGAATGCGATTTTCCCTTAAAGTGGACCTATCATGCTATATTTGAATAATATAGTGTAGGACCATACCTATACCTATAAGGCATATTTATACTTTTTTTTTTTCAAAATACCAAACAGATCATGCATTTTAGCCATGCCTCATTTCGCTCAATTTGACATTTTTTAGCTCTGTTTTAGCAAGGGCAGATTCAGTGAGAACAGCACCACCTACTGGCCTGGCATATGTACTACATACTACAGCGTCTCCAGCGCTTTCGAACGGCAATGGCTGTCTCCTCCTGATTGGTGGAGTTGGCCCAATACCTAGCGCCACCGTCCTGACGTCAGGACAGTGTTCAATCTGGATCAGTTTTTATCAGATCCGTTGCAGCCCCTTTTTAGAGATTTGGGTATGGAGGAAAATAGAGAGGGTTGTGTTTTCTGACACTTGGTGAGTTCCCTGGAACACCGGGGACACATATTCATGTAGAAAAGACGTAGAAAAGTGCATTTTGCATGATAGGTCCCCTTTAAGGATTTGTGGTTTAGGTAATAGAGATCATCGATAGAAAACTCCACTATTAATCTACCGTTATGTCAAGGATAACAAACGTTCAATTCTGTTTCGCATGTACGCAGCAACAGAAAAAAGTTACTTAACATGTTCTCAATAACTCCTTTGATCAACTCAAAAAGTATTGTGTGTATCCTAAAAACTGTGTGTGTGTGTCAGTGACTCTCCTCACCTGCTCTACCTGCTGGAGTTGACCTGGATGGACGCTAAGCTGATCCTTCAGATGATGTGTGAGCTCAACGTGCTGCCGCTCGCCCTGCAGATCACCAACATCGCCGGAAACGTCATGGTACACCTTTCTACTCTCTCTTTTGCCTCAGTTAAATCTACAAAAAACAGCTCTGAATGTGACAACAGAGCTATCGTCTGACCGTATCACTCAGATCAAACAGAATATACGTTAAAACTGAACCTTACAATTTGCTGAAACTCAAGTATCTGCACCACCAACATATGAGAAACCTTTTGAACACATGACACAAGACACAGATATAGACAATGTTTTTTAAATTCCAGGAAGCAGCTGAACTTGCTTATTGAACAGTCGAAGTACAAATACAAAAAAAAAGCATTTGTTTACCTTTTTTCTGTAAGTTATGTTGTTTTGTAAACACCTAATTTCTTCCTCTCTCAGTCTCGTACTCTGATGGGCGGTCGCGCCGAGAGAAACGAGTTCCTGCTGCTTCACGCCTTCCACGACAAAAACTACATCGTCCCCGACAAACTGTCCTTCAAGAAGACTCAGATGGAAATGGTGAAGACCACACACACACACCACACACACACACACACACACACACACACACACACAGTACACACACAGTCACACACACACACACACACACACAACATACACACACACACACACACACACACACACAGTCACACACACACACACACACACACAGTCACACACAGTCACACACAGTCTCACACACAGTCACACACAGTCACACAGTCACACACACACACAGTCACACACAGTCACACCAGTCACACACAGTCACACACACACACACACACACACAGTCCCACACAGTCACACACATGTCACACACACACACACACACACACAGTCACACACACACACACACACAGTCACACACAGTCACACACAGTCTCACACACAGTCACACACAGTCACACACACACAGTCACACACAGTCACACACACACAGTCACACACACACAGTCACACACACACAGTCACACACAGTCACAGTCACAGTCACACACACACGCACACGCACACGCACACGCACACGCACACACACACACGCAGTCACGGAAAACCTGGAAAAAGTCACAACATTTCAATTAAATTACCCTTGAAAGTGTTTAAGAAGTCATATCATTTGTAATGTTATTAGTTGAACTGTTATAGTGTAGTATAAGTTTCCATAACATGTGACATAACACTAATTGTTCCTATCTGTAGCTGATGATCTAACACCGCTCTGGTGTGTGATGACATTTCAAAGTAGTTGTCTTTTCAAAGTCATGGAAAAGTGAAACATGAAAATGTGGGATAAGGTGTTTTTAGTAGAGTACAAATGTGACAGATGTTGGATGATCAGTTTCTCTTTGTTCCTGTGTCCCAGGGGGAGGGAGAAGAAGGGGATGGTGGGAAAGGGAAGAGGAAGAAGAAGGCAGCGTATGCCGGAGGTCTGGTGGCTGGATCCTAAAGTTGGTAGTGTTTAATTTTTTAGTTTAAAGTCCTCATCTCATTTTTTATGTGCATATTTCTAAAACCTCTCCTCTCTCTCGCTCTCTGAAGGTTTCTACGACAAGTTTGTTCTGCTGCTGGACTTCAACAGTCTGTACCCCTCCATCATCCAGGAGTTCAACATCTGCTTCACCACCGTGCAGAGGGAGGCGTACAACGCAAAGAAGAAGAACAACGAGGTGTGTGTGTGTGTGTGTGTTCATTGTAGGAGTGTTTGTGTAGCTAAATAGACGCAACCTGCTCTAACGATTGATCAGGTTCAGAGGTGTGACGAGCCTCAACATCCTCAGTTTCCCAGTCTTCCCCTTTTTTTCTTTTTTTTTACTTCCTCACGTAAAATGCCCAACTAAACTTCCATCTCTTGTTTCCCTGGTAACAGGAGGACGGGTCGGATGACATTCCCGAAGTTCCCGATCAGAGCCTGGAGATGGGAATCCTGCCCAAAGAAATCAGGAAGCTGGTGGAGCGACGAAAACAAGTCAAACAGCTGATGAAGCAACAGGACCTCAACTCTGACCTCTACCTGCAGGTACACACACACACACATACACATACACATACACACACACACACACACACACACACCACACACCACACACACACACACACACACACCACACACACATCACACACCATTCTTTTGCACTATTTTATCTGTTTTATTGTTCAATGTCCTATATATATGTTGCACTGTTGGAGGAGTCTGTGACCTAAGTTTTTCATTGCCATATCTACACTGTAGCTAATGTGCTAATGACAATAGCGCCTTGAAACTTGAAACGTGAAACACACACAGGTAACCTCAACTGCAGTTTGAGAGAATTAGCTATTCTAATATTCATTGTCTGTCTCTCCGTCAGTATGATATCCGTCAGAAGGCTCTGAAGCTAACGGCTAACAGCATGTACGGCTGCCTGGGCTTCAGCTTCAGCCGCTTCTACGCCAAACCCCTCGCTGCCCTCGTCACACACAAGGGGAGAGAGGTGAGTCACACACACACACACACACACACACACACACACACACACACACACACACACACACACACTCTGCATAAACACTATGAGACTGATGCCTTATGGACACACAGGTTTAGCTGTCACACACCTGATGGATCATGCACATCTAAAAAAACTGAACTAAAACAAGCTTCTTAGTTGTACATTTATTACAGTACAAACTTTGACTACAATTTGTTTTTTTGGATTCATTGATTGGTCTACAAAATGTAAGAAATAGTTAAAACACAAAACCCAAAGATATTCACTTTCATAGGACATAAAAGAGGCTGAAAAGAGCATTTTCCGGGCTACAGTCTGGTTAATAGAAATTGAAACACTTCCACGTTTGTCCACAAGAGGGCACTGCTGGATTACATGTCACATCATGCAACACTCCTTCACTGTGCTTTCTCTTCTGATCTTCTGTTTCATTTTTGGTTTCCTCCTGTCCTCCTTTCCTCTCCTCATTATTACCTCTTCCTCGTCACCTTGTGCTCTTCCCTGTTTCTAAATATGATCATCACAGTGTGTGTGTGTGTGTGTGATATCAACAGCTCTTAAGTATTTTCCATGAAGCTCACTCTCTCTATGTAAAGCCTGAGTGTGTCATGACTTCTTTCAACGCACACAAAAGGAACAGAACGGGGCGTGCTCTCAATAAAGTGTGTGTTGCATGACATAAACGGCTAAATGTGGTCGTGTAAGTGAACACCTCACACATGTCAGTGTTTGTACTCGTGTTCATTTAATGAGCTCTAACAGTACGAGTCCTCAGGGGAGTCCTTCATTCAGATCCTCTTACACACTCATTGTGTTTGCTAATAGAGGGCAGGGCAGTCGCTCAGTGTGTGTGTGAGATCGTGTGTGTGTGTGTGTGTGTGTGTGTGTTACTCTGACAGCCTCCAGTCCCGCTTGTTGTTCATGATACTTTTGTAAAAAGGTGCTCAGTTTATTCTCTGATACAAGTGGGAGTTTCTGTCCCTCCAGAGTTTAATCTTTGTTAACAGCCTTTAATGGATGAGTTTAATTACAGCTCGCTCCGGCTTCATTTTAAACAGGAAGTGACACCGCACTATTCTGTCATTACTACATTTCGTCAAACTAAATATTCATGACGGTTAATTTGGTTCTGTGTGACTAATTGTTTGAGACTCATATTTGGATTGTGTGTGTGTGTGTGTGTGTGGTGTGTGTGTGTGTGGTGTGTGTGTGTGTGTGTGTGTGTGTGTGTGTGTGTGTGTAGTGTGTGTGTGTGTGTGTGGTGTGTGTGTGTGTGTGTGTGTGGTGTGTGTGTGTGTGTGTGTGTGTGTGTGTGTGTGTTGTGTGTGTGTGTGTGTGTGTGTGTGTGTGTGTGTGTGTGTGTGTGTGTGTGTGTGTGTGTGTGTGTGTGTGTGTGTGTGTGTGTGTGTGTGTGTGTGTGTGACTGTCTGTGTGTGTGACTGTCTGTGTGTGTGACTGTCTGTGTGTGTGTGTGTGTGTGACTGTCTGTGTGTGTGACTGTCTGTGTGTGTGACTGACTGTCTGTGTGACTGACTGTGTGTGTGTGTGCGTGTGACTGTCTGTGTGTGTGTGTGACTGTCTGTGTGACTGTCTGTGTGACTGACTGTGTGTGTGTGTGACTGTCTGTGTGACTGTCTGTGTGACTGACTGTGTGTGTGTGTGACTGTCTGTGTGACTGTCTGTGTGACTGACTGTGTGTGTGTGTGACTGTCTGTGTGACTGTCTGTGTGACTGACTGTGTGTGTGTGTGACTGTCTGTGTGACTGACTGTGTGTGTGTGTGACTGTCTGTGTGACTGACTGTGTGTGTGACTGACTGTGTGTGTGTGTGACTGACTGTGTGTGTGACTGTCTGTGTGACTGACTGTGTGTGTGACTGTGTGTGTGTGTGACTGTGTGACTGACTGTCTGTGTGACTGACTGTCTGTGTGACTGTCTGTGTGACTGACTGTGTGACTGACTGTCTGTGTGACTGACTGTGTGACTGACTGTGTGTGTGTGTGACTGTCTGTGTGACTGTCTGTGTGACTGACTGTGTGACTGTCTGTGTGTCTGTGTGACTGACTGTGTGTGTGTGTGTGTGTGTGACTGACTGTGTGTGTGTGTGACTGACTGTGTGTGTGGAGTATCTGTGTAACTGGACACAGTACTGTGTTTGTGTACTGCATGTGTACAGGAGGCATTTCAAAGTCTTTCATCTTTCTTATTAGGAATAGTGACACACACACACACACACACACACACACACACACACACACACACACACACACACAGTTTAATAATATGCTAACGTGGAGATTGAGTGGTGACGAAGTTAGCATCCCCCTGGTTCTCTCCAAAAGCAATGGTTTTTTTTCTCCGTGTTCTATGACAGAAAAAAAAAGTGTTAAATTCTATAAAATCCCACAAAAAGCATTGACTTCCAGATGAGGAAACGGAAGTGTTAAAATGCAGAATCATGAACGGTTTTAGGACTCCTTTCTGCACCACTCTATATGGCGTATGATATTAAAGTGGCAACAGTTGTCCTTTTAACCTATCATGACGTTAATGATGATATTGCACAATGTAATCACTTTAAAATGACACCATCAGTTTGGTTCAGCTTGGTTTCCTATATATATTCCTATATATATATAATTCAGTCGAAACCAAAATGCATTGTGAACTCTCGCAGTAATGCCGACTCTTTTCTCATGAAAGCAGCTAGCACTAGCTCCAAACATGTGTATGAATTGCATGAATATATTTCTACATTTCTCCCGAGCTGTTTCTGTAGGTTCCCCCCTCCCCTGTAGGTTTCTGCTTAGGGTTAGCCTGGAGAACAAATGGTGTCAGAGTTAAAGAACAAACCTTGTAGTAAGGTGTCTTGAATATCACATGGGACACAGATAAAATAGGCTAATTTGAAAGCTAAAAGGCATTTAATTAGCTGATTATAATGGGTATACGTCGAGCATTTGGAGAGCTAACATGCTGTAGCATTTTTGTAGAATTTAGACAACTTTTAGCAAGGAATAAAAACGTTCCCAACATATATTCTAATTGATTTAATAGACGTATTCAAATGTTTTCTGATCACTAAAAGCATGCTGTGTTCTCCCAGTGTGTTGAAGGGACAGTAAACACATAGCATTGTGTTTCATTCGGACTTCACTGCATTAGACAGTGCTCAGAGTGAAGTGTGAGAAGACAGATTGCAGAGACGAGCATCTAAAGGTCAGACGTCAGTGCTGAGAAACGCAGATCCACTTTGCACTCTGTTTACTTTGTATCTGTGTTCCTGGACGTCTATTTATACTGAGTGTGTTTCAGCATCAACACAACCAGGGAGTCCCACTGGAAGCAATGTGGACGCGATCATTTAATGCTCTCCCACAATCTAAATCTGGACCTGCATTCGTTAGATATTCTGTTTCATAATCTCTTATAGCGGCAAACATTTGGATGAGTTCAGTCACTCACTACTGTTTAAAAGACACATAAAAGGTCTTAAAACAACTAAAGCTTTGTTAAATATTCAGTTGAGTTGTTTGCTTGCATTATCCCAAGTGATATTAACTTATATTTTGTCATTTAAATGAAGATAATTATTCATAATTTCTCATGTTTCCTGCAAGAATCTGTCAAAAATGTACCTTCTATCCAGTTTTAAGCCCATTTTTTATAACTTTTTTCTAGATTTGAGTGCTTTTAAACTCTGTATTTTATTCATATGAAGGTTTTTTGTCATGGGTCGTCTGAGAAACAAGCTCAGCTAACGTTAGCAACTAGGAGAAACTCAGATTTTTTTAAGTGAAACTACTTTAGGGCAATGTTTTGGGGAGAGAATTAGACTTTTTTTTGTAGATAATTCATGTACTATTAACTCCTGAAGTGGAAGAAGCCCTCTGCTTTAAGACAACGATGGGGGAAGGAAACGACTCCTATAATCCCAAACTACTCCCACAAACTGCGTCTTTCTGTATTGAAGGAGACTAACATTTAAAAACTGCATTTCATTTCATGTTAATCTGACATTTCTATCATCATCCATGCACTACTATCCATCCCCGTTAGTTTGACTATAAGCAGAGAAGCGTTTGATGCCCGTGAATCAGTTTGATTGAATTTGAATGGCGCACCAAAGTTTAACGACCGTACGCCGCCAAGTAGTTCTTGGTAGTTTCCGACCGCAGCGAGCCAGAGAACACCAGCTGGCCTTAATGGCGAGCTTTCTGGTGTATTTGTGGCGAGTGCCGTTTGCACCCCGGCCCTCATTTGAATCGTCACATTTGCACTTTCATATCATGATTTAGGAGGCTTTTTATTTTTGTAATTGCAACACGTACACAGAACACCACCCTGTCCGCGGTGTGAATCCCCCCCCCCTCCTTGTGTTCGCATGTGTTCTGTTTTTATTGATTGGCTTAGCTCTCATCTTTCTCTCACTCTCGGTTTAAATGGAGGCCTAATCCCCTCTGGTGTCTGCCGGGGGCCACGGTGCTCTCTGATCAGACAAGTTAGGAAGGGAAACCCCCCTCTCAGCTCCTGATTCTTGAGTGTGTGTCTCGTATCTGTGTGTGTGTGTGTGTGTGTACATGTGTGTGTGTGTGTACATGTGCTACTGGCCGAACTGACACACATTGAATAGGCTAATTTGAAAACGAATAGATATACAAACTTCTGGTTGTTGATGAAAAGCTTCCTAACATATATTCAAATTAGTTTAATAGATTTTTGTATGTAGTTTAAATCGATATAGGAAACCTCCCCCTCTGAGTGTGTGTCTTGTATCTGCATATGTGTGTGTGTGTGTTGGTACATGTGCTACTGGCTGAACTGACACGCATTAAATAGGTTAATTTGAGAACTAAGAGATATACCAACTTCTGATCAGGAATAAAATCATATATTCTAATTGATTTCATAGATTTTTGTAGTTTAAATAGATATCGGAAACCTCCCTCTCAGCTCCTGATTCTTGAGTGTGTGTCTCGTAAT